AAGTGGCGAACTGGGACACAACAAGACAAATGCCACACAACTTAAATAGGAACAACCAGGAGTACCAGTGGTGCCAGTAGCACCAATAACCAACAATATTGGCAGAGCAAGTGGCGAATTGGGACACAACAAGACACATGCCACACAGCTTAAATAGGATGGGCATCACACTACAAGGGTACGGGTTTAGCAGAGATTTAGAAGTGGTTTAGCGGAGGTTTAGCAGAGGTTTTGCATGTTGCGTGAGCAAGGGATTAACAGAGAGTGGGCACTCAAGCGGGGCACGCAGGAACCCAACAGAACAGCGAGACAAACAATACAAGTTGGAGCCTTGAGGCCCCCAGTAGCATCAATAACCAACAGTGTCGGCAGAGCAAGTGGGGACCTGGGACACAACAAGACACACTCCACACAGCTTGAATAGGGCGGGCAGCGCGCTACAAGGGTAAGGGTTTAGCAGAGGATTAGCAAAGGTTTTGTGTGTTGCATGAGCAAGGGTTTAACAAAGAGTGGGCACTCAGGCGGGGCAGGCAGGAGCCCAGCAGAACAGCAAGACAGCAAGACAAACAGTACAAGTTGGGGCCTTGAGGCCCTTAGTAGCATCAATAACCAACAGTGTCGGCAGAGCAAGTGGGGACCTGGGACACAACAAGACACACTCCACACAACTCGAATAGGGTGGGCAGCGCGCTACAAGGGTAAGGGTTTAGCAGAGGGTTAGCAAAGGTTTTGCGTGTTGCATGAGCAAGGTTTAAACCGTTTAACAAAGAGTGGGCACTCAGGCGGGGCAGGCAGGAGCCCAGCAGAACAGCAAGACAGCGAGACAAATAGTACAAATAGGAGCCTCGGGGCCTCAACAGTAAAAGCCAGATAAGTGGAGCAAGATCGCAAAGGGAATACCTGGGAGAAATGTGGACATATAGGATAGAGGCTCAATGACTGAAGACAGGTTCATCAAAATAAAAGAAGGAACCAAGCATCAAAAGAACCGAGTCCAGTTCAAATACAACAAACAAGGGCCCAGTTGGGCAGGCAGGGTCTCAGGAGGGTAGGGAGAAGTGACCACACTTGAGGAACATAACCCACTCACCACAACAGATGACAAGACTTCTCACAATCACAAACGGACGATCATTCCAATGTTGTATATGGACGCTGAACGCGGTTTTCAGCAGGTGCTGCTCCCCACCAATAGATGGAGACTTCACAAGCAGGGTCCTGATCAGCGAGGATGCTCTTATCACCTCTCTAAGCAGAACTCCCTGTACTAGAGGGGGGGGGGGAAATAAGTAATAAACAGTGAAAGATCTTTGTTATTTTTTTTTTAAAAAGGGCCATGGCCTTGAGGTATTATCATCAGACTAATCAGCCCAGGTAAATTCAATTTTGTGTCTAATCTGACACCGGGTGGCCTTTCCAGCCCAGGGTGGCCTTATCGCCTTCAGGGAACCCCCAGTGGGGACACCGGCCAGGGGACAACCGGTAGCACAGGGACCGAGCATCATCTGAGTGCCAGTGGCTGTGCATCCCCGATTATCCCTCCCCCTATGAACATCAGCAGAGACTGCTTTTAATGTCAATTGGGGCGACCAATGGGCTATCTCTAGGCGGCGGGCGCCAAGACCTCCTGAATGCCACTTCCGTGCCTTACCAACTGAGCTATAGCGCCATGGCAAAAAAAATGTTCTATTTACTTTTTTAAAGTTTGTTTTCCTTTTGGCTTGTGAGGCTTCATCTATTGGTGGGGGCAACAAGTGGTGACAACCAGGGTCATTTTGTGATGCCCAACCTCACACCCAGCGGGACTTCCTG